TACTTTCTGAAGGGCTGGTCTTCGAACAGATCTTACAACCCTAGCCCTATTGCTCTGACAGCCTTCAGCAATCCAACACTGACATTGCGCAACGTCATTGCGCATGCACGCAAGAATCACGAACAATGAATGAACAATTTGCCTCCCTTAAGATTCAACCCTGGCTATGCCCCTGCATGGGTAGTATTAACACGCAAAGTTTGTAGGTACTAAAACGCTCCTGATAGTGATACCATACGATCACGTTTGAAATTTTTCCCCCATAGCATGCTAAAACGCTCCTGATTTATAGTGAATTGTTTAGTGATACCATACGATCATGTTCGAAAATTTTCCCCGATAGCCATGAACGCTTAGTGAATTTTTTATTAACATATTCATAATTCCTCTCCATACATTCTCTATGGGAGAACAAACAGTGTGCGACTTCACAGGGGGGGAATGGTTCCAACAGTGCCATTCCTCAGGTGTATTAGAGCCATTGCAAAAAATGGTTGTGGTCACGTTTTGAGCATTACGTTTTCGTGGACCATTGCCATGCAGGGGCTCCGCCCATTTTCCCCGAATAGGCTATTATAATACCCTTGTGCGTATGGTAGGAGGCAGAGAAAGCCACTGCACATAATGGCGAGGAACCATTCACTCCCTGTGAAGTCGTGCACTGGTTTTCTCTCCCATACAGAATGTATTGGAGAGGAATATGAATATGCTAATGAGCTTGTAAAAGGCCTGAAAAATCCAAGATACCAAAATAAACTATAAATCGTGCTGTCGTCGAACGCGATTGTACGGTAGCTTAAGATGAAAGTGACCTCTTGTGAACTCCCAGGTAAATGCTCCTCTTTCAGTACGTGACCATTTTGGCTGCAAATGTGACATAAGGTTCTGGTGATGTGTCTAGGCATGCATACTTGCCAACCAATGAATTTTGTTTGTTGGTTATTTTTGCAGGACATGAACAAAAATTGCAGGACACAAATATTCACATACATGTATACAAAATCATGACTGTCTTGCATGTTCATTTTAGTAGGCTCCTTTGCGTTGCTGATTTTGCACTTGCATCACTCATAAGTTCCTGATTGAGGTAGCATGGATTTTCATTGCTAACCTTCACAGAGAGTAAGGAACCCAGTGTAGATGGCTCCATTTGCCTTCTTAGTTCTGTGTATATTTTTCTCACCATGCTAAACAGTCTTTCGGGGTCAGCATTGGAATGGGGAAATACTAGAAGTGCTTTGGCTAGCGGTGATAGTTTCTCAAATCGTAGTGTTTCAAGATCTGTAACAGTTTTCATCTCTCCAATGTCTGCCCAGAAGTGATCTATCTGGGAACATAACCTTGCAGAAATTATCAGACGCTGCAAATGGTAGGTTATGCTCTGCAATAAAGGTTGCAAAATACACTTCAGCTACTGTAACTTGGCGGTCAACAGAAGCCGAAGCAGAACTCGACTGTAAGGCAGCTTTGATTGGCACTTGTGAGGCAACAGAGCGGGCGCATTCCTTATGCTTCTTCCCGTCAACATGTCGCCTTACATCATACACTCCTCCGCTCGCAATCGAAATGTCTGTCTGGCAAAGCATGCAGTACACGCGTGGGTCGCACCTTTCTCATACGGTAACGCTTCCAGTCTGCGCTCCACTTACATGAACGCTTGCGCTTCCCACGCGATGCTGCTGGTCCGAAACTTGTTGAGCTGCACGTAGCAGTAGCCCCAGTCGACTCTGAAGCGTCCTCCCATCCCACGTCGTCGTGGTCACTGCTGCTGTGAGTGCTGTCCATAAACAACTGTTGAAGGGTAAAGGTCAAGAGCTACGCATGCGCAGTAAAATACGGGATGACGCGCGAGCGTTGGTTTGTATTGTCGGGGACAATAAGGCTCTGCTGCGGGACAGCGGGACGCCACTGACTTTTGCGGGACACTCCCGCGGAATGTGGGACGGTTGGCAAGTATGGGCATGTACAGCAACAGCACTATAAAAAGTGTAACCCTTCTTTAGATACTTTACCAACCTATTCTTCAAAACACCTTCATCTCCCCTTTAAACAGGCAAACCAATAGGCCCTCTCTTCACTTGAGTAAGTTGAGAACACTTAGCGCCGCACTACCCTATGCTGCGAAGCTTTCTTTCTTACAACATGGTCCTCAAGCTCATTGCTGGAATTGACACTGCACTTAGAGCAGGCAAATTTGCATCACTTGCATTGTGGTGTGGCATTGATGATTGCACGAAGCTGTTTAGGGGCAATAGCACAGACAATCACGCTGATGTGAAACAAAGCAAGCCTGTATTTGACCTTCAGAAGCCTGACATTGAGTCAGTGTTGCATGTATAGCATGCTTGATCGTGGCTTCGGGATCCGACATGTACATGTGTGCCCTGAGTGCCAGTCTACGGGTAGTTAGAGCATACTATTTCCCCATACTTTAGCTGTATGTCAACTCATTTACATAAACCACAGTGGGTCTGCAGGAGTTAGACGATAGTAGGAAATTGGCAGCGTGGAATGCAATTGGGGGCTTTTACACTCTTTGTGTGCTGCTGTTTATTTACCAGAAGGGAGTGTTTTCAGGCTAGAATGGCCAGTAACTGCTCCACGGTCTGAAAACTAGCGAAAGCTGCTTCCCGACGCATAGGCCCCCATGGACTGGAACAGTATTCGGTGACTTTCAGCTTTCTTGCCACTGCAACAGGCTGCATTCGAGAGTGCTGGGTATAGCGGGAGAGAAAGCGAGCCAGAGCAGCAGCTACAAAACCTTTGTGTAGTATAGCAGCGAAAAAGTATAGCTTTGACGTACCTGTAACGTTGAACTCTCGACAATGACCATGGCTTCTGCACAACCGCCCAGCTTGACTAAACTAAAGCGCTTATTGCAGCTGTCTCTTTCCCGATCCATTGCTAGCTAGCTCTCTCCGTACACTGAGGGTGTGCGTTAAAGAAGGCGTTTTGAAAGCTTTTGCGCAATCTCATTGGTCAGAGCCTTACCGCCGGATGTCATCATACAAGCACGTTTTACGATGGCATTGGCTTGTGGTCTACTGGTTGCACACTGGTGGCTTCAGTTTTGATAGACCACTCGGGCGACGCCCTCGTGCCCTATCAAAACTGGGCACTCGTGTACAACCAGTAGACCACCGCCATCGTATAACCTATACTTACACAGAAGATGACTGCATTTAGACATGCCCGCAAAGGCAGAGAGCTTCCCAGGGGAAAACAGATAATATTGGTCAGAAAAGAGGAGCCTTCCCTTATCACTGTTGCTGACTTTTACACCTTATACAATTACTGACATAGCATTGTTTTATATTGTAAGCCTACTTCCTGGCCTTGTTTATATAGTCCTACTGTAATTTTCCTAACTCTTTCATACTTTCTACCATTTATATTTCCTAAAGTGCTGGACTGGAACTGCACTTGCCAAGACCTGGACCCTACAATCGTCTACTATACAGCCATGTTCTGCTATTAACTCTTTGGCCTTCACCTTTGACACTGTTGATATGTAATCTAACATGGTTGTGAACATCAGAACTTACCAGAACAGAAACACTCGCAGAAATTGTAGAACCTTCTAGAACAGAGTAGGTAGCTATAAAATTCAGATTTTGTACCATTGTGAAGAGTCGAGCGAATAAGTATCAGATCACTAAAAGGGTGTTTCGTGGCCGAGACTCTCAACAGGTTATGGGCCCAGATCTCCGATAGACACTGTGTTGCACTGCAGACTGGAGTTGCCTGGATAGCTGCGGTGTCGGTCGCTTGAGTTAACTGACCGACCGGATACCGGATCTTTCGTCCACTAACAGCTGACACTGGCCGAGCGTGCCATGGCGGGTTCGACGGTGGACGAAAAGTGGGTCATCGAAAAATTAGACGGGTCTAACTGGACGACATGGAAATTTCAGATGCGACATCTGTTGCTTGCAAGGGCCTTTGGGGTTTGTGGACGGAACAGAAGCTCTCGCAGAGGGCGCCAATGCGCAAGCTCGTGCGGAATTTCTGAAGAAAGCGCAGAGAACATTTTCTACGATCGTCCTGGCTATTAGCACATCCCAACTCTACCTGGTGACTTCTTGTGAACAGCCCCGAGAAGCTTGGGAGGCGTTGCGGAACCACTTTGAACGGGATACTCTCGCAAACAAGCTGTTTCTGAAGAAAAAATATTTCAGGACCGAGATGAAGGAGGGGGCGTCGATCGAACAGCATCTGAAGCACATGAAGGAATTGGTAGACAGACTTGCAGCGATTGGTGCGCCTATCTCAGAGGAAAGACCAAGTAGTGATGCTCCTCGGTAGTTTGCATTGGAGCTACTCCACTCTCGTGACAGCCCTGGAAGCTCGAGTGGGACGATGTTCATCACTGAACTTCGTCCCAACAAGCTCTCGTGCATGAAGCACAGAAGTTGAAAGAAGCATCAGGGTACGCGTACGACACCAAGACGGGAACGACAGATTCAGCACTTGTAGGAAGACAGAAGTTCAAGCCTCGAAACGTGCTTTGGTATCCACCAACATACATTCAAATGAGTGTCAATAACCACATTCACTAAAAACAGGGGGAAAATTGTCTGGTTCCACTCGGCAAAGGACACGCGTAGAGGTCAGGCCGTTCCTTGTTGGATAACACCATCAGAAGGGCAGGCAGACTTCCATCACAACATTTTCATATCAAAGCTTCTCCAACACAGAGTGGTGTAGCGAAGAGCTGGCGTCCCACTGTCTTCCTTCGAGAAATACTGAGTGAGCTTCAGATAGAGATGCCCGTAGCTATGGTAACCGCCCTTCTGTCCGCATGGGGGACAAAAAATAACACGTAAACAAGCTGTTTTACATGTCTACAACGCGTAAACCGAGCCAAATACAGAAATAACACCGTGTCCGCTAATTGCTGGTAATGGTAAACTGACCTGCGTAATCATCGTAATCCCAATAGAAATAATCCGTCATCACTTCCGCTCTGTCCACGCCCCCGTCGTTGAGCAGGCGCGCGGTCCATGTCGTCCGCGGAAGACATGGTGGTCCGATGTAGTGCAGAGAGCAGAGTAAGAACAACAAGCAGAAAAACAAGCAGACTAGCAAGTGAATCAAAGTTTGCTGGGAAAAGAGCTGGCAGCCACTTGCTGCTGTACCGTACACTTCTGCCGTATATTTCTCCGTGGAACGCGTCCGCGCACGGGTGGATGCTGTAAGTTTCTTGTCACTGCTAGACGGGGAAAAAATCTTTTTCCACCTTTTAGAGGGCCCTAGACTGCAACAAAAAAAATCGGGAAAAAATCCCCGTCATTGCTATATCTCAAAATCTGCTGACTTATATATACCACCTTTTCGCGTGGACGAGCCTAATGGTGCGTTTGTACCCTACTTCAGAACTGAACCACAGACGTGTGTCTTACAAGGTATTGTCATGTTATGCATCTGGTTATCTCGGCTATCTCTCTGCATCAGGTGAGCAACCAGGTAACAGCTTCAACCACATTTTTTGTATGCTATACAACATGCTTGTTACCATATTGGAAAGGATCAGCTGTGGCTGGTAGGGTTGCAAACTTAAGTTTAATACCTCAACTTCTGAGACGCTTATGTACAAATCGTGTTTATACTTGGTGTAGGCCCGCCGACGAAGCCCAGATTAGTTTCTACGCTGTTAGAAAGCCTAGTGTCATCTAGAGCCGCAGGGGAGGTCACGTTTCCATGGCAGACTGCATTCACGCTCATAAGATGCGTATTATACACGCGGAAGGTGTGGCAGCTGCTGGGAACACCAGCCCAGCCTTTTATGTTGTACATGCGCAAACAGTGCGCCAACTCAAAGGGCAAAGCGTTAGCAAGGTAGGCTGTGCCAGCGGTAGCGGACGGCAACTTTTAGGGATGAAGAGAGTTCCGCGCATCTATCGATATGCCGATCGCGTTGGCTAACACCGCGTAACGAATCTATATATAGATCGCCTCCGCAATGATTGAACTAAAGAGTTACCAGACTCTGTCTTTGAAGGAGACTTTCTGTTAGAACTCTCTTGGGCCATCGTGGGTCTGGGTGGGGCTCGCCGGGACCAGCGTGGGGTCTGGGTTGGGCTAGCCGGGGACCACGTGGGTCTGGTGGGCTCGCGGGGGACCAGCATGGGTCTGAGTGGGCTCGCCGGGGACCAGTGTGGGTCTGAGGGGGCTAGTCGGACCAGGGTGGGTCTGGGTGGGCTCGCAGGGGTCTGGGGTGGGCTCGACGGGGCCTCGTGGGGCTGGGTGGGCTCGCGGGACCAGCATGGGTTCTGAGTTGGGCTCGCCGGGTCAGAGGGTCTGAGTTGGGGCTCACGGGACTCAGTCCGGTGGTGTGCTGGGTGGAAGGATTTGTTAGGTTAGGCAGAGTTCTAGACCCGGCCGTCAGGTGTAGGTCACCTATGTGTATTTTGTGAATTGCTCTGATGTGCCTTGCCTGGTAGCTCTCAAACATAGCAGTCAGGTATGAATCCAGTTGGAGAGTAGATAAGCATCTACATCTGTAGTGAGAATGGTCTGAAGTGATGTGTAAGTCGTTGGCCCGGTGGCCTTTCTAAGAAAACATCACAGAAGAAACAATCATAAGATAACTCAACACCCGGTTCTGGTATTGCGCACCATACACTTCTTTTCTCATTTTTGGTCAAGCACTAAGATGATCATCTCTTATAATTTTTGTTTTCTTAGATGTGCTGATAATGTGTGGAGTACCTTTCAATCCACTTGCTATGGGTATTGTTTGTTTTCTCAGGGCAGACAGCACTTATCGAGTCTCAGAACTTCACCTTCTTGGACTTGTAAAGTGTTTGTTGCCTTCTCAGATTGGATGAGACAAATAAGGATATTGTGGCATAATTGGACTTTTGTGCGGCGTTTGGAAGTGGGTACGGTAAAGTAATAGATTGCACTGCCGAAAAATGAAAATAGCAATCTTCCTGCTCTGTGTTTAGAATGGACGGTGGTATTAGCTTAGGGGAGAATGTGTTGTCATTGCGTGGAAATATCGACCGAACATTTTCTCCGTGTGACATTGTCTTGGATATTTTAGGTGGATCGGCAAAAAACATAACTTGGCATGAACAAATGCAAGGTTGTGTAAAACGAAGCACTGATTGTTTCGTTTCCGGTTTTCTTGATGGGAGTAGTAGTAGCTCTGTTATTTCAACTGCAATAGATCTTAACAGCATATGATGTCAAGGGAGAACTCTGGTTATTTTTTTTTGTGTCTGCATGGCCGTAAGTATCAATTATAGCACCTTTTCCTTAGTCTGAGATATGAGTGTTTCCTTTCAAGCAAGAGTAGAAATGTGTCTATTCTAACCTTTTTAGTGAGCTCCTAAATTTTAGTCAATTAGGTTGTTAAGATGACCATTAACATCATGTATTTTCAGTGGCTCTACTGGAGATATCCCATTACTGTTCCAGACTCTAACTATTGATTAATCTGGCGTCTACTGGGCATCTCTTCGCAGCAATGCAGGTACGTTTTGTGATTCCTCTGCGCAATACTCCTTCAAAACTCTTCGAGGTCTGCCTTCTTCTTCCTGCTTGACAAGATCTTTATTGCCTCAAAGTTCTACTTTACGTTCGTGTGAACTCGCATGCTATCCAGTGGGTTTCTCTTATACTTTTTTTTTGTTATGTGTAAAACATACAAAAAGGTACCAATTACCCTTCATTTGGCATGTAGCCCACAATCAGTATTGTTGTGTTCGAATGCATGCAAACACTATACATTACCCCTGTCCTCCAACGCCTTCCAGTTGTTTTTAGAACACAATTATTGCCTCTCCTTGCAGATTTCGTTTTGGGGGCACGGATAGCATATGGCAAATATGATTCTGTAACTTCCACGGTGTGCTTTCCCCACATCGATTCACTAACCCTCCACCACAATGCCCCCCCCCCTCCCTGCTGATTCCTGCTGTCAATATCTTTTTAGCAGCCGGACCGTCCCCATGCACCATTAGTTTTTGCGACACTATGTCCGTGCTTTCTTGTCTTGTTTGTCTTGTTAGCTTTATTAGATTATTGCCGGTCCGTGAGTTTTATGATTAAGGTTATGGATTACTCTTCAGAGTCTCTCTTCCTAACTAGAAGAAGTACCCAATGATTAGCTTATGGACGAGTGGCATGCATAGTTTGATATGTCGTGTACGTGAGGATTCTGAAGCAATGATAAACAGTTTTTTTTTATCATCTGATTCAGAAGAATAAGAGAAAATATTTCAGTTCTTCAAAGACGTTGTTTATTAACCTAGATCATGTGTTAAACTTGCAAAGTAAGGTTTTGCATTCGCCGTTTTCCCTCACGATTCCCATATTTTCATGTTTCCTTTCTCTAGGCTGCTATAAGGGTGATTTTCCGTGCTACACATGCGTTGCTTTGTTGCAGTTTCCAATGTGTTGTCTGAGCGTTAACACTGAAAAAAAGCGTTACTGGGTAGGTACAACATCCTCACTCCAACTGTTATTCTCACCGCTTCCACACTAAGTTTTGGCCTTCTCATTTTTGACGGTAGGAATGTTACATCAGTGTGAGCCATTGACCCTTTTGCACCTCCTAGATGCCCTTAAAGGCCTGGATTAATATAGCTGCAGGGATTTTTGTTTTTTATTGTGTGTTACGCAAAGTCCTCTTTGACATTGTCCACAAATCTACAGCTTATTTGTTCCATTGTCTTAGCTAGCTTTTTTGAGGGACCAATTAACTTACTTTGTCAGGATGGCCATGATAATGACTCCTGTAACCAGGTTTTCTTTGTTCACCATAAAGGGAAAAGAACTGTGCGCCTTTCTTTGCTTTGTGTGGCATCATGTACTAAATCCTATTTTTAGTCGCTAGCGCTTTCTGCTTTTTTTGAGGAGCATGTTGTTTTAGACCTTCTGTTTTTCTAACTTGTCATATGTAACAATTAGACCATGTGCATGACACCAGAGAAAAATTCGATGCGAGGCTCTGGACAGCTTGTTTCGGGCTTTGTGCTAGCATTTATTTGTACGTCAGCTATAGTTTCTTGTTTTGCAGCACATAGCTCATTCATTGCCTTGTGCTTTGTCTTTCCTCTCTTCTTTACTTTGTTGCCCAATAGCCTATTTTTTCTTCGTCTTTTTAGGGATGTTGATTAAGCACCCCACGTGTGGAATCCTAGGTGTTTGTAGGGCAGTTTGGCAGTTTTGCAGGTCATTGTTAAACTGCTCTGTTTTGCTATCGATTTAGCTCTTGCCGCACTTTCTGCCTAGTGATTTTGAGATTTTGCCTGTGAGGGTTTCTTCATCAGATAGTGCTATTTCATTGATGAGGGTTTTTGGTGGTTTAACCTACCGACCTTCTCTCTTCTACTATATCGTCAACGTGCTGAGAAAAGCTGCCTGAGTACAGAAGCTTTACATCTGAAGGACCATTTCACCTGCATGCAGTACAGTTTGAACTCGTATGCCTACTCCTTCTCCCTGTCTCACTAGGTAGTGTGTTCCAATTCTCTACACTAAACATGTTAGCGTATGTACTCTTCATAGCTTGTGGGTGCCATTTTCTGTTGAATGCTCTAAATATCGCAAGGAACTTGTTAGCTGCCACTTTATGTGTCACTTTGAAAGTTGCTGAAAATGTTGTTGTACTCACGTATCAGGTACCGATTGGCAATTCTCGAAAACCCCGCGATTTAGAAAGCCTGAAAAAGTGCAGGCTGACGCTCGGACAGCTACAGCCCGAGGGCCTGCGGTTTTCTAAATACGTGTAGTTTCCTCGAATCGGCGCCTAACTTATAAGTAGATAGCCATAGGGAATGGGGAATACTGTACGTCTGGGCACACTTGCATGCGGGCTTGTGCCTTATGCCAGCATGTCACGCTAATAAGGGTTTGTGTGCTAATCAATTCTGCAGTCTGCAGGATCACGGTCCCATTCTTAGCAGTTATGATGAGGAAATGATTACCAATACTTGGCCAGCCCTACACTCCTCTGCTGCTACTGGTGAGTCTCAACCATTCGTTGAATCCACTGACATGCTACCTTGTCAAATGCAAGCTCTCTGTCCAAATTTTATACTGAGTGTCGCAGGCGTATGGTTTTGAGATGTAGGAGCATGATATAGCACTACAAACTGGCAGACAAGAAAATGTGTTGCCATAGCCATTGGATAATTGAGAGTGCTAATAATTGGTGGTTTGCTCTGTACTAGATCAAGCATTTTTGGCGAGTGAATGTGTGTTGTACGAATTAGATAGGGCTAGAGTCTATATAGAATGCTAGGGCTTGGCCTTCAAGTTATTTACAGGCTAGGGCTCTAACTTGTCTTTTGCGCATTTGACAATGGTTCATCTTCATAAGTGTACGGTTGAAATGACTGGGGGATGATTATAGGAAATTATGGTGGAAGGGAAGGGTATTCAAAGTCTGAGATAATCTAGATCTATCACGTGATATCATCGTCACTTCGGTGGGTGTTTGCCTTATTTGAGGAAGTTGGTTCAAAGTTGGTTAACAACGGCATATTTGAAAATTGCCAAGGGACTAGGGAAGAGGAATGTCCCCGATAAGGCGCGCTAGACGTGTGTGGGAGGTTCGTTGGGAGGTGTGGCGATGTCTGCAGTGCCATTTAAAGAGGAACCGTCCGTCCGACATGGCGCACTCGACGCCGTGGAGGACCTCCCAGGGATCTGTTCAATATGTGCATTAGCTTAGTCCCAGTATGGGATGTGGAGGGAGACAGCCGAAGAGCACCTGCTGGTATCGTGTGAGCAACAGTAACCGTTCTACTTCTGAAGATCCTCCAGCCTACAGAGAAGGACTTAAAAGGTCTCTGATCCTCTGTGAGCATAATATATGATGTGTAATTCCCGTGTAAAATATCGCACGTAATAGCGCACGCGCACGCAGACTTGCGCGCGATAAAACTTACGCGGCTTCGCGTGAAGGCGGCGCGCGCGGTTACGCGTCTTTACGCTATCGTGGGCGCGCGTGCGTAACTCAGCGTCAAAAATAGCACGCTTGCACTCCGTAACGTTCGGGCTATGCAACGCATCACGTCTCTGCGGAGCCCATATAATCATGGATCAATGAAGTGAGTTTGTTCCATGGCCTTTCTATCTGTGCATTGTCACTTCTTGCTCTTTGGGCACAGGTGCCTGCACACTGGGTTGAGGTGTTTCTGGAGGATGATTGCCCAACGCTTGTTGTACTCCTTGTCTAGGCTGCCTTCCGGTAAGGGGTACAGGTAGTCCATATGGCCTAAAAGAGGTATAATATACTGTATATATACCTATATAATATTATATAAATAGTGAATAGACTGTGCTGAGGGCACATACATTTTATTGCCCATAGCCTTGTACTGTCCAACTGGGAGATGTCATCCCTGATCGGTTTAGTACAGTTTCCTTGAGCAAGTTCCTTGGTTGAGAAAAGAAGTAGGAGCAGGGCTTTGGAGAGCTTCTCAGCAGTATCGGTCTTTCACTCGACATCTGTGACGTGTGGATTGTGACACATTCAAGAGTCACTTTATGTCTAGAGCTGCCCATTGGGTCTCCAAAAGAAGCACCTGTATGGGGTTTCAAAAGTAGCACCCGTAGAAAAAATTTGCATTATTCATACCACTGTAATCATCTTTTTGTTCTTTCTCTCTTTCTCGCCCTCGCTCTCTTTCGTCATTCTACACAGGGTAGACACACACAGTTGAGTTGGACATGCACACAATGCAGACTAATAATTATGCATACCATTCTTTGGAGTTTTCTTTATCGGAGGTTCTACTGTACACCTACTGTCCACAATAGGGATTTGTTTTCTTCAGCACCACAACTAACCTTCCTCCTCTTTAGAATTGGTTTTATCTGTTCTTTCAGCCTATGCACCTCATTAGTCATCGACTGCACTGAGACATTTAAAGAAGCAATTGCAGCTTGAGTTTGGGCATTAGTGTTTAATACTAGGTCTCGAAGTCCCTGCACAAATGTTGTTATTCGATGATAGAGAAAAAACATACAGGTATATTATACCATGGTCCCTGGATCAGTAGAGTGGGATGATAGATGGGAGGATGCTACGTCGGACATACTATCCTCATCAGATCGTTGGCGTTTCGATGGGGGAAGGTCCAAGTAGCTATAATGGTGTGGATAGTGCAGTGGAGGTTGCATCCGATGATGATAGCCCATAGGTGGGGGAGATTGTACAGTTTCCCAAGTGTCCCAAGATGACTTCTCATAACAAAGAGTGTGTCATCATTTTCACGAACGCAAGCAAGATATATACTTTACTGACCTCTCTTCTTAATCCTGATCCACCATGGTCAGGTGCCGGTCCCTCTTCACCGCAGTTTTGCTCCCCCTCCTTACTCTCCTTGCTCCCATTAATCTCTTTACTCTCTGTGCTCTCATTTCTCTCTTTAGTCTCCTTACTCTCAGTGATGTTATCATCTTCTGCTTCTAAAGAGAAAGGTAATATAATGTCACCCATACCACTGTATACTTACCACTTTGTGTAACTGGTGAGGAGCATAGCAGTGGTCCATTAGACATTATCTCTTGGAGAAGAGATTTCGAAAGTTCACTGCTGGCAACATCCTTTGCCTTAGCTGAGGCCTGTACGTAAGAGTGGTCATAATCCACATAAAACGTAGCCACCTTTTTCAGGGATTTTGGACCCTTCCTTTGCTTGCCCCCTCCAACTGCAGTCACTTTGTTTTGAGAGCACCCTATGACAAGTACTTAGTTTTACAGGGTTGCTTACAATCAGCTATAGCAGGTGAAATTTGGTCAAGCATAACTACTAGGCTAACTAATACCAACTCATACCCACAATGTTAGGCAAATTTCACTTGCTAATCACTACCAAATGTCACAAAGGTACATAGCTCTATACTTTCGTTCCCTCTCTCTTGTCTCTTACCACTCTTATCTTTGTCCCTCTGCTCAGATTCACTCCCAGGGTTAGAGTCCTTCCTGGCTGAGTCAGCTCCAGTTGCAGCTATTAAAAAAATACACTATAGTGTATTCACTCCCAACCCAGAAGTGCTTGCGTAAACAGTTTATACAGCAGCATATGGTCCTTATGGGACATACAGCTAACTTTTAGTGGTATTGTTTTAGGCATAGTAAAGCATATGGTTAGACTGGAAACCAGGAGGGTTCCATTTCTGTAAAGAAATTACGGCAAGGTCCAGTGGGCATTTCCAAAAAAAAGCTTACGCCTGCAAAGGTGGCTGGCTTACCCAAGCTGAGGGGAAGGCCATTGTGTGGTTTAAGGGAGGTGGTTACATGCACCTGTTTTCCTTCTTCGAAGCCGTTGAGTCTTTCTTCCTGTCCCTCTGCTCAGATTCACTCCCAGGGTCATAGTCCTTCCTGGCTGAGTCAGTCAAGGCAGCTCCAGTTGCAGCTATGAAAAAATACAAGTGGTTGTAAACACTACTGAAAATGGTATTTTGGTTGGTAGAGTAAGGGTAGGGTGTAAGGGGGGGAGGGGGGGTAGAAAAGACTGTGCAGGTCTATATGGCTTACCATTTTGCTTCCTGATAGTCTTTTTGTCCTTCCTGTCTCTCTGCTGAGGTTCACTCCCAGAGTCCGAGTCCTCTTTCTCCCTTGCAGAGGCAGCTCTAGTTGCAGCTATTAAAAAATGGCACTAGGAGTGGTGACCTGGCATTTCCTAAAACAGGCTTATGCCTGCAAAGGTGGCTGGCTTATCTTGTTTACCCAAGCGGAGGGGAATGTCATAGTGTGGTTTAAGGGAGGTGGTTACATGCACCTGTTTTCTTCTTCGAAGCCTTTGAGTCTTTCTTCCTGTCCCTCTGCTCAGATTCACTCCCAGGGTCATAGTCTTCTTCTTCCATAGCTCCAGTTGCAGCTATTATACACAAGGTTGTAAAAGCTACATGAAAAAATAGTTTCGTTCTGTTGGGTAGAGTAAGGTAGGCATGGGCGGGTGTAAGTGGGTCAGATCCATGTAAACCAGGCTTATGGTTTGTTAGTTGGACAGAACGAAGGAATACTGTGGAAAGATTACACACCTGGCTCTGATAGTACCTCCTCCTCCTCATCCTCTTTTGTCACAGTCTGTGTCCATGTCACTCCATTTCTCCTGTTCAGCTTGAGCTGCATAGCACTCACCCCTGGACCCTGAGTTTTAGAGAGAAAAAGTAATGCACCCATTGAAAGCACCAGGATACATTTCGTTAAACAATAGTTGAAACGATTGTATATACTATAATACTCTTCACTAACCAGTGGCAATGATAGTTGCTCCAAACAATCCTTCTTAAAGTGCATATAACTTTTGCTCCAGCTGTAAATGATGCACCACTTTCCTTCAGTTGCACTACCTTCCCTTCCACCACTGAATGGCCTTCTTCTCCGTCCCATTCCACAAATACATGGGCTAAGCGTATATAATACAGTATGAAACTCCACATCTGGCCAGGTAATATTTTGTTACCTGGTTTCTTGTTCCACTGCAGGTCCTGCACCCTCCAGTTTCGTATCACCCCATTATCAGCCATCAGCGTCCCTGTTGAGTGAAGCAAGACTCACTGATCGTCCAGAGAATCGGATTAGACAGTCAAGCTAGTCTGGATCTTGCAGGCAAAGTTTTTCGCGCGCATGAACTGCGTATATGCGCGTAACTTTTCGAGCATGCGCGCACGTGTGGGCAGCCGGCAGGATATATCGCGATCGAGCTGGGCGACACGCGAATTAACTAAGTGAAAGAAGCGGGGAGAGCGGAGGTAACGGCGGGGTTCAAGCGGCGGCTGCGGTTTGAACGTAACTCATGTCCACGTCGACTTGCTCCGGTGGTTGGGCTCTTAGCAGCGGATCTGAAGACACCTATATCGAGAGTTGGAGTGAAACCAGCTGTCTGTCTGAATATGAGTCGGATTTGGAAGATCTTTACAAATCTTTCGATTTCGAGGATTCCGCAAGTCGTTCCCTGTCGTCCGCTCAAGCACAAGAAACCTGCGACAACGAGGTCCCACAGCAGGAGACGGTCGGCCATTTGTTTTCTACTAGCGGTGAAGCTTTGTATGCTGGATCACCAATCTCCACACTCCAGAGTTACTTACTGATATTCCAGTACGCCGTGCGCCACAGCCTTACTGCGAAGGCGTTTACTGAATTACTTCAGCTATTGTCAGTGCATCTACCTCGAGGGGCTAGACTCCCAAAAACTGTTCACAGTCTTAAACGCTTTTTTGTCGATGCATTTCCTGAAGCACAGGCAGTGCAGCACTTTTACTGTAGTTGGCCCCTGCCTTCTCCAGGAGCAAGTTGCGTTGGAAGTGGATGTAGTGGGGGGAAATGCTGTTCTTACATTACAATCCCCATTTTACCACAGATAAAGAGAATGTTCGAAGGTACATGTTAGAGTTGGTTTACAATACTTATAGCTATGTATAATTATACACTTATAAGATTCAATACAGGATTAGTGCCTGCCATTACATAACTCTATCGAACACCTCTAAATCATCGTAGTAACCTACAATCTGAAGTGTGCTTGAATCGGAACTAAAGAGTTGGTGTGATTTTATAGAATGACACATCCCTCATGCTGGCATTGTACAATATACTTAACACACAACCATATTATTTTCCAAGCGCCATACTTTGATTAGTATCTACTCCACAAAAAGGGTCATATTCTCTGATCTCACATTAGATGTATGAGCCAGACTTTGATGTATCCATTTAGACTCATGAATCGCCTGGATATTATATCTGGACACAGGCAATTGGGAGACTTGACGTCCTTCCCTCAAATGAAGATGAATTGCTTTGGCAATTCAGGTTGGTCCATTATCAATGCTTACAACAACCTTCATAGAATCTTCTGCCTCCAAGCTCTCTGGGTTACTTCACGATGCAATAGAACTACTTTCAGCAACTACTTCACTGCGATGATGGCGATATAATGTGGTAGTTGAAGTTTCTAAACACTTTCCCTACAGTCATTAACTCGGCACATTATGCGTACTTAGAATGCCTAGTTCGTAAGTGACTTACATGCAGCTTTAGATTTTCGATTTGTTTTCACACAATGAGCACGAGATGTAGAAGACGACATTGCTATACTATACTCTATACTCTATAATTTTAACACGAGCACAGCGGCAGACAGCGCATGCTCGCTCGTATGATTTTTGCAGCTGTCGGACCGGTTCAAATCATGGAAGACCTCTCTTCGATGTCTGTGGAAGAATTAAGCATTTGGCTCCAGGAGCAAGGGATACCTTCTGATTTTTGTAAGGTTATTGCAGCAAAACATAATTTTATTGACGGAAAGGAGTTTGTGTATCTTACAAAACAGGAAGTCAAGTCCATGGTAACACCAATTGGCATATATGCCTTGATAAATTATGCTAGCAGAATAATGGGTATGGATGTGAATTGAGAATAATGCTCAGAATAATAGGGAGGTTTTGGGGGGTAGCATGTAGAAAAAACAAAGATGTGGAGCTCTGGACAGCTGTTTCGGTGCTTGTTGGCCCTCATCAGCAGAGCATACACAACTTCTCTCTCTGGCATCACGAGTTTATAACGGCTGACCTGAGCGCAGCACTTGTGGTTCTGAACTAATCCCACAAGACTTTGCCACTGGGTATGTGCTGCTGACCATGCCCAGACATTCCTGGTTTGGAGCCTAGGCCCCTCCCCACTCCTGTTGATCAAGGTCAGCACCGAGCCAAAACCCGAATTAAAAAATGCTGGCATAGTGGATTGAGCCGCGGCAATGAAGCCAGCAAGCACTCATATCCTGCCAGAGCATACACATGTAGAAAAAACCATGTGATGCCAATAAAAAATATGTGGAGCTCTGGACAGCTGTTTCGGGCTTGTTGGCCATCATCAGCAGAGCATACCACAACTTCTCTCTCTGGCATCACAAGTTTATAAAGGCTGACATGAGCGCAGCACTTGTGTGTTTGAACTAATGCACAGTTTGCAATGGTTATGGTGTAAGAGAAGTATATCTGGGTAAGGTTGAAAGTACTTCCGCTTACCTGGATTAAGCACTTGTACCAGGGAGTATGTGGAGTTGGAGGCCCTTTAACCTCTTTTCCATGCGTCCTGTTCTCCGCTCCACAGGTAGACACACAGATAAGTTGTAGTTATAGACTGACTTTGGGTGGACTTATAGTCTTGTGAGTTACCTGATAGATACCCCTTATAGATAGCCTTGTGGGTAACTTTTAGCTGCATAAGGGCATGCCATAAGGTGCAAGGACATCAGGGCCCCTAAATTATATGTGGAAACTAAATGGTTAGTGCGGTGCGTATTAAGTATTTCAACCATTATTGTTTATTGAAATTGATGCAAATGAAATGATATTTAAGCTTAGAAGTTAACATTTCAGTTTCCTTCTATAAGCCATTTCACCAAAACATTAATTATGATTTTTAGGGGGATACTCATAGTAAAATTGTTGACAAAATGCATTTATCAATGGCAAAAAATCATAACAGTCAAAGAAATTACAATCACAGTGTGATGTTAAAACATGGTTTTGTTGTGCTGTGAGATATCCAACACGCTCATATATGAAGTTGCTGGAGACATACAAACAAAAAGTCCTTTGGAATGACAACATTCCATGAGCACGTAGTGTAAGATCAACCAATACATTACAGCTACAGAGAGCTGAGAAACTGAAGAAAGAACTTGACTTTCAACAAAATGAAATAATATTGTGGTACATCACTGCAAAACGGGCGATCCTTGGTGCAGAGCGTTGTGGTTGACTCTGTCTAGCGACATCAGCAAGATCATCCGCCATCTTCATAGTGTTAAACGTCACATAATTGTACAAAACAATTCTTTACCTCACATTCTTTGTACGTATATAATATTAGAGTGTTCTGAGAGCCTGCAAACACGTGCAGACAATGTATAGTACCAGCCGGTCCTTGCCACTCTCGGGTTCCAAAGGGAAGAGACAATAGTTTAATAACAGTAACTAAAAATCTTGCGAATTAAAAAAAGAGGCATATAGGATGGTACAAAAAGAAAGGGAGACAAGATAGGGATGGGATACATGAAGCATTGGTTAATGAACAGATTTGAGTATGCTGACACTCCCAACCCCATCACACAATCCCTATATTGTTGCCTGGTGTGTAACTCTTATAGGGGCTAAAGGTTACTCTTTCACCATGTCCCTGTTGTTTTTAGTAACATTTATACTGCCACATTCCCTTTAATTCAACTCCACTTGGACTCTATAAGGGTGTTGGTTACTCAGTAGTGTATTGTAATGGTGAATGTTTAATACTTCACCTAGGCAACAATATAGGGATTGTGTGATGGAGTTGGGGTGTCAGCATACTCAAATCTGTTCATTAACCATGCTCATGTATCCCATCCCTATCTTGTCTCCCTTTCTTTTTGTACCATCCCTATATGCAATTAACTTGTCTCCACTCATTTTTATATAATACGAGCCCCTATAATTGATTCAAAATGATATGCGTACAGTCCATGTGTGCTGCCTAACAAGTTTGAGGAGTGAAGAAGTAATTGCTGAGCACGTTAGCGTGAGGCAGCTACTCCTGGTTGTATTCTCGCGATATACGTACGTGTCGGTCACGCTTAAGAATGTAAATTAGTCACGCTTTAAGAATGTCAATTAGTCACGCTTAGGAATGTCAACTTCCGTCATTCGTAGGCCTCCATTGCTGTTTGAAGATCGTTTGAAATGCAGGATCCACACATCCTGCAGCATAATTATGTTGCTAACTGCTGCTCATGCATTCCGTTTCCACAGGCAAGTTGTCTAGCAACTGCATTAACGTTAGGGAAGTGTCTCACACTAATATGTTCATAAAAGGAGCGCACACACCCATAGGCTGTTATAGATAGTGGCCGATCACCTTCCAGGTTGTAGGTTGCCCTTACAAAGGGATCCATCACATCCACAATCACTGCCAGCTCGATCTTGAGCTTCCGACTATTGGCGGGACTATTTAGGATGTCAGTCATCTTTGTATGTTGTTGTGGTAGGCAAGTCGCGATTGCCTAGGAATGTGCACACATCTCCAAATGCATCGTGCATCTGTTTAAGGACTTCATAGCGGCTCCACCATCTCGTGGTGGAATACGATGGTGGAGAAAGCCCGGTTTGCATTCGCCGAAGTAACCTGGCTTTAGGACTATGTGCGAAGAGTGAAAACCCATGCCTTGAAGAAGGTGTCAAGCTGTAACGTTCACCAACGTGGTCCAGTGTATGTGAAAAACAACCGATGTCCAGAATTGAGCTGTATACTACCTTCACGGTTCGCCTAATTCAACAATGACATAAGATGATGGAATTCCAAGCTCTTGGGATATTACGCTCACTATCTGCTGAGCCACCTCCTCCCCACTCATGCTCTTAGCTAGTAATTTCAAAGCACCCACACGCTGCTGAATGTTCCACTGATCATCAATAAACCATGACCATTGCCTCGCACTCTTGAATTTGCCCATCTCCTCGTGCATAATGAAAGGTGGCACTAGTGAGAATTGTCGAGTCTTCCTCTAGCAGCTCACGCAAGCAGTCAGCCTTGGCGAGAGGAATGGCAGCCTTCAAAGTTTCT